TTCTGGGGCAGGAAGAATGGCCATGTTGTGTGTGGCTCTGGAAGATAACACCTGGAAAGAAGTCCATTCATTTGGTAAATCCTACTGAACATGTGTTCTGTGCTGGCCCCTGTGCTAGGTAGTCAGAATATAGCAGTGGATCAGCCATGGACCCTGATTTCTGAGAGTTCTCAGTCCTGTATGGAGACAGACTATTATAACATAGTGATCAGTGTAGTAAGAAAGAAGCAGAAAGGCTCATGGAGCACAAAGGATCGCACCAAATCTGGGGTGAGAGGGAAATAAGGAAGGTTTCCTGGAGAAGAAGCCTGAACTGAGTCTTAAAAGATGGGTGTTTATAGGAAGTCCAGGTGAGAGTGGGGTTAGAGAGAGAGGTTGGGGCTCATGCAAAAAGAATCTGCCCTCAGTTTATTGCGGGAAACCCCTTGGCAGGCCATGAGCTTGGGACGGGGCTCTGGACATGCTTGAGGAAGCCAGGGTGACCCACCTGTTCTGAATGTAGTCAAGGCGGGTCTCTTAGGGAATTGGAAGAACTCACCGTTAAGTTCTCTTTCACCTCAGAAAGCCTATAAGTCTGTCAAACCTAAGGCAGGTGCTGTATCAGAGACGAGTAGCAGGCTCCCTGGGTCCCCGTGGGGCAGGCCCTCTCTCCCGTCAACACCAGCGCCACTGCCTCACCCTGCCCTGGCTGTTGAGACCCCAGCCTGTCACTGGCACCAGCCAAGACCTGTCCATGACCATCCACCCCCATCCTACTTTCCTGGCCCGAGCCCTATTGACAGATCCCCCAGAATCTGAAGGAATTCAAGACAAATGGTTAAGAGGATGGAGTTAATAAAATTTGAAAAATTGAGGCCTGTCACTCCACTAAACTTTTTTCAATACCACTGACAGAAACATATTTCCCCAATGAGTGACCTTCCACAGCTGTAGCGGGCAGGCGCAGCCGCAGCAGTGCTTCCAGGAAGCCAGTCTGCTATTTATCAAATATTATAAGCTGGGACACACTAATCTGGAGCAGGGGAGGAGTCCTGCACTATACTGCCTGGGGTGTTCCAGGTGTTGGCCCCAGCCCCAGACAGCCAGTGGGAGGTGACGGATGGCCTGCGATTAGCTCTTCCCACCTCCGCCCAGCCCTCTGACTTACTCCCAGAAGCCTGACCCTCTAGACCAGCTGCTTGGCCCGGAGGGGCCCTGGGTGGGAGGCATGGTGAGGTCAGACCAGGGCATGGGCCATCCTGATGCCCCTGGAGAGGGCAGGCGGGTGAGGCCCAACGTGGTTATTTATTGGAGTGTAATGGTTTGTGGCCGTTGGTCATGGAGGTGAAATCGATCAGTTGTAGAAGTCAGGTTCTATCAATTATTACAGCAATTAGTCAAGTCAGAGCATCAGAGCAAGGGTTCGGGGGCTGAGGGACTAATATTAGATGGACATTACCCATGGTGCCCCAGCCTCAGCTTTCCTAAACTGGGAGCAGATGTGCTGACCCGAGGCTCCAGAACCTTGGGGAGGCTAGCTGGCTTCCCTCCTCGGGGCAGCTGGGGTGAACCTGGGTGAGAGCTCTTGGACTGGAGACAGACCCAGCACTGCTTTAAACGGCGTCCCTGTGCTAGCTGGCCCAGGTGCAGAAATGTCCTACCTGTCCCATCCCATCATTTATGAGAAGTGACACAACTCCTACTAGAAATTACTCAGTGGCCAATGTTTATGGCACACATTTTTCATTCTGTAAGCAAATATAGATCACTGACAGCACTTGTTTGAAGCAACTAATCTCACCCTCTGTTCTTTCTTCCACTGTCTTCCTCTCTTCCTCTCCCCCTCCCCTTCTGTCTCCTATTTTTTCTCTCTTACCCAGTTCTCTTTTTCTCTTTGCTCTTCTTTTCTTTCCCTTCCAGAGGTCTCTCCCACACCGCCCTGCCACTCTAGCCCATATTCAGTGACAGAGCTCCCCTTGATACTGCCTCAGGGAGGAGAGGCCTTTCCACCGAGTGATTGTAGCTCTCTTTCAGCCCTAGCTGTGGTCCAGGAGCTTTGAAGAAAGGGACGATGCTGTCTGCCTCTGCCTCTCAAGCCTTCAGTGCTGAGTGCCAGACAGAACAGGGCTGGCTGGGAAGACTGGGTCAGGTGAACAAGCCCCTTAGCACTGTGGTCTTCTTACACCTCTCTCTACAGGCCTGCTGTCCCTCCTTCAGCACACTGATCACACTTGACCTGAGTTGTTGTTGCATGGTCATCTTTCGTCCCTTTTAGCTTCTGGAGAGCTGGAATTGTGCCTAGACTGTAGATAGCACCTAATCTAAAAGATGGGACCAGGAGCCTGCAGAAGAGACAGAGAAGGAATGGTCTCAGGGGTGTGAGGAAAACCTGAAAAGTGGTTTTTATAACTCAAAGAAGAGAGTGGCCAAGGTATCAGTTGCTGCAGAGTGATCAAGAAGTGTTAAAAAAAAAAAAAAAAACCTATTCATTGGCTTTGGCAGTCTCCCATCTCCCTACGTACAGGGCCCTGATACACAGTGCCCAGTAAGCAAGCACCAACAGAATTGAAAGAAAGAATGAGGCTCCAGCTGAGCTTTGAGGACTTGCCTACTAGTTAGGAAGAACCCAGACACTCTCCTCATTAGGGAGGTTGCATTTTATCCTATAAGCAGTGAAAGCCATGGAATGATTTTTCACCAGGGGTGTATTTTGGCTGCCCTGGTGGGAGTGTGAAGAATTGTAGTTAAGAAAACCTGGAGTAGGTTTGACTCCTGGTCCAAGCAAATCACCAACTTTGTGACCTTGGGCTAATTATCTCCTTTGAGCCCACTTTCCACGTCTATAGCATGGGAATTTTAATTTCTACCCCTCAGTATGGTTGATAGTATATATAAAATACAGAGTACATAGTAAACACTAGTGGCTGTTGTTATCATCATCACCACTTCTAGATACATACCCGAGAGACATAGAAAAATACATCCACTCAGACTTGTACACAAATATTCATAGCAACATATTCATAATAGCCGAAAGGGGAAAGCAATTCAAATGTTCATGAGCTTGATGAATAACAAAATAGGGTATGTCCATAGAATGCGGTGTTATTCAGCCATAAAAGAATGAAGTACATGCTATATTCCTATATTCATGTTGTAGCATGAATGACATGTGCTACATCATGGATGAACCTTGAAAACATGGTAAATTAAGCCAGATGCAAAAGACCACACACTGTATGATACCATTTATGTGAAATGTCAAGTGTAGGCAAATATAGGGACAGAAATCAGACTAATGGTTTCTGGGATTGGGGGAAGTGGTGAATGTCTCTGATAATGGTGATGGGGCTTCTTTTCAAGATGATTAAAATGATCTGGAATTAGATACTGGTGAGGCTTACATGATGATGAAAGTGTATTTAAAACTACTGAATTGTGTACCTTGAAAGGTATGTGAATTGTGATTAAAAATTATCTCAATATTTTATTTTGTACTGTCTTCCTATTAGAAAATAGAATCATGTAAAAAAGTATTAATTTTTCTTATTGATAATAAGCTTCCTTGGTCTGGATCGTGCTTTATGCTCTCTGCTCCTTTCCCCTCCTCCTCCCACACTTCTTCCTCTACAGCCACGGCAGACAGCCATGTGTAAATGCTTAATAAATGATTACCATTGTTGATGAGTTTATAGTCCTTAAGAAGCAGAGCGTTTCAATAGGAATGGTTTTATATCATGATATGAAGGTTGCCTCAGCCTGGGTGAGAAATACTGATTTTTGCTGTCCATCAGCAAACAGTGACTGAATATCCCCTCTGAGCCGGGCCTCACGGTGATGCAGCCTTTCCTGTGTGTTTAGTGTCCCTGGCCAACTTACTACCTCCTCATGGCAGGGACTGTGTCTTAACCCTTCTTTAAGTATAGACAACGCACTTCCTTAGCAATAAAGGTCAAAGAGTATTGGTTTGTCTGTTACTTTAATGTTCCGTTTAACACATAGTTCTTGAGAGGAGTGCTTTGGGGCAGGACCAGATCTGATTCTTCCATGTCCTGAGTCCCAGCTCATTCAAGGTTGGACAGATTGAATGGAATGGTCAGTTTTCGAAGAGGAGAGTGAGGTGCCCAGATCTGGGCTTTGGGGAGGAGATTCTGACTGTGTGGGGGTTAAAATAACCTATCTTCCATGACTGTCAAGGCTTTACACCAAGCAGACACTTTACACAGGCTCATCAGCTGCCGGCACTTATAAGTGAGAGAAGGTAGATGCGTGGCTCCAAGCAAGCCTCTTCTTTTTGTTATACTTAAAGTTCTTTGTCTTCGAATCATGGGAGCCAATGATTGGAGGAGATCCCTGCCTGGGTGCACACGCAAGTAGCACAGGTGAGGGCTGGCACAGCTGGGTTGCTGATGATGGCCAGAGCTCAGCTGACTTTAGCAGGCAGGAAGTGAGCAGGGAAGAGAGAGCATTAGCAGAGGGAGAGGCAGAGAGCAGAAGGAAGGGGCCTTGTCATTACCTGGGATACTCTGTGCTTTAGATTTCTATATGATTTTTATGAATGAATATTCATCTGTGTAGAAACAAATTTGATAATGCAGACATTTTAATGAAGAATGCATTGGAGTTGGGGTGTATTAATCTGTATGTGTATTGGTATATTTATTAGCATGTTCAGCTGTGTATATTTTTGTAGGCACAGCACACCTATGTGTGTGTATAGCACATCTGTGTGTGTGGCAGCTCTCTATGTGGGCATAGCACATCTTTGTGTGTGGCACCTCTCTATGTGGCACATGTGCATGCACATGTAGGAGCCTCAATACCCTTACTTCTGTGTCAGAGAGGACCGAGAGCTCCTCTCTCAGAGTAGCTTGACGTGTTTCAATCTCTTAGGTTTTGTTGCTCCATATTTCTGTGAGCGTTCCTTACACTGAAGTCAAGGCCTATACCACCTCCTAGGGAAGGCTGAGGGTCCACTGATCACTCACAGAGGCTCTTTTTTCTTCTTCTCCTCCTGTCAGGAGCCAACCCCTTGCAGAGGAATGAAATGGGACACACACCCTTGGATTATGCTCGAGAAGGGGAGGTGATGAAGCTTTTAAGGACTTCTGAGACTAAGGTAAGTCTCAAAGAAAGGAGAAGGCCTGAGGGCACTCCATGCTTCATTTCATCTTTCACTCATTAAATTATGTCAGACTCTACACCACAGGCCACTTCTCCTTAGAGGATTATTGTCTATTTAAATACAAATCCAGCCTCCACTTATCAATTATAGGAGGCATCCCCTTTCCTGACCAAGAAGAAGCCTGAGCCACTTCTGGGTTCTGAGGACTAACTTTTAAATTCAGTTTCTCAGGTAGTGAGCCTTCCAGCTCCTTCCATGAAGAGGGGATAGCAGGACAAAATCTTCGCCTCAGTACTATTTCCTCAGGTCTCATGCACTTTGCAGCATCATCAAGTAACTCTTTTCCATCATCTCTCCTTCTAGAACTTTTCCTTGGCCCCTTCCCTCCATTTACACTCCAGAGATCCTTATGTAGAGTATGGGGCAAAACAATCTTCATCTTAATTTGATCTTCTCATCCAGACTTTTGAACCTTCTAAAAACAGGCTGCCTTCTGCTCTTCTCAGCCACCCAGTTATAACTTAGAAAGTACTTGGCAGAATCTAAGAACTAGAATCACAAATGTCGGAGCTGACAGGGACCTGAGAACCCATCAAGTCCAGTGATGGGAAATCTTATCAAAGTAAAATAAAGAAGTCAGAGGAAAATAGAGCTGTTCTGTTTGAAGGAGAGCCTATCCTTCCCCCCTGGGTAGCCTCCATGGAGGCTATGCTGTGGGATACACATTTTAAATCTCTGAAACCTCGATCAAATGATTTCTTTTCTTCCTGGGGAAACTGGAGCCCAGGGGTGTGTTGTGACTTGCCTTTGGTCCCAGAGTGAGTTAGCATCAAAACTGTTACTGAGACTTGGACACAAGATCATGTGGTGGGTTCACTGGCAGGACAGGAACTGGAAGGCTTGGTTTCTGACTCTCAGTCTTGGGTTTTTTCCAGCTTCATGGAACCTCTCTCTGGCAAGTTGGCTGCAGTACTTTGAGATGATTAAGAGTGGCAGGTCCCACCTAGTGGCAGATAGTCCATGTCTTGAGTAAGAGCACTTAGGTTAGGTCACCTGACTGAGCACTCAGCTGGGGTTGTGATCCCACCGCCTCACTGACTATGTGACCTTGGGCAAGGGCTTCCGCTCTTGAAGCTCCGTTTACCTCTGTGAAAGGAAAACACTGTGATTAAATGGTTTCTATGGTTCCATTCAATCTGCCACTGGTCTGTTTAGCAGTCCAGATAAACTTAAGTCATGCTGTTGTAACAACCCAAAATTTCAGTGGCTTAAAACAACAAAGATTCATTTTTACCTCATTCTACACATCTGTCATCCATCATGGGTCAGCAGAGGCGGGCTCTGCCCATCCGTGATGCTGAGGGACCTCACTGGCAGAACAGCTGCCCTCTGGAAGAGAGCACTCTAGAGGGCCTCCCACCTGCAGCTACATGCTCAGCCTGGAAGTAGGATCCTTTACTTCACTCACAACTTATTGGACACAGCTAATCCCATGTTCCTGCCCTAGAGTTGCATCAGCTTCCCCCATTCTCTGAGGAAATCCCTGAGCACTGTTGCACATCACTCAGGGACTGCATCCCCGACTCTCTCCCCTTTCAGGCCAAGCCACTGTCCCCTGAGAGCCAGCGCTGTCCTTGGCCAAAATTACTCCTGTTTTGTTAGGTAGTGTGACATAGGGCCAGCACAGGTCTGGTCATGTAAAGCAGGAGAACAGACCTCTTTGTATCAGCAGGGATGGAAAGGTTAGGCCTCCTGAGGGACCCTAACGAAACTTGGCTGCCCAGGAAATGTCTTGATGTCAGCCACATCAATACAAAGTCAGTGTCCCAAGTGAGTAAGTGGCAGTTGCTGCCTCTGTGCTAGTCAGATTCTTCTAGACCACAGAGGGCTACCTTCTGAGTAGACTGAGCTCTCAGAATCTGTGCAGAGGTGGGCAGCAAGGAGGCAAGCAAAACTGTGCTGTGAGAAAAGGCTGAAGGCAGTGGGGCATCTGGCCGGGAAAGGAGAGACTGCGCGTGGGCACAGAGACGGCTGTGAGGAGGAGGGGAGGAGAGGAAATGGATTCAGTGCCAGGGCTAGGACAGAACCAGGCTTAATGGGTGACTGCTGCCAGAAGGAGACACCTCACAGAGCTGTGACCCAGGTCAGGGGCTGCCTTTTGAGGCTAGAAGACCACTCAGAGTCAGCCAGGGGTTTTGTCACCTCTCAACATGAAGACTGTTTCTCTGTCATCACCTCTCTGCACTTGATCCCTTTACACAGGCTGGATTTCCTCTTCTGTAATATTCAGCTGTCTACTGAGCACCTCCACCTGATTGCTCTGGGGTCCCCTCAGATTCTACCCATGTGAACCACCCTCAGCTCTCCCTGGACATCAGCAGCATTGTCTTTCAGTTGCTCAGCATCTCCATGGTCACCCATTCTTTCTGCTCTGCTTTTTTTCTCCAAGCTGCAAAAAAACTACCTCTTCAAAACTGTGAGGAAGTTTCAGGGCGGAAATACTGCTTTAGATTGGGTTATGTCACCCTCTGCCAGGAAGTAAGCAGCAGCTGCTCAGCTCTTGAGTTCAGGCCCTATGTCAGTGACATAATGATTCAGGCCTGGAGGGTGCTGAGGCTCCAGCCTGAGATCTCATGTCCTGGCTCTTTGTCTAGACACGGATCACCACCACTCCGATCTTACCTTCCTCCCCTTCTGTCCATCCGACATCTCCCTGCCGTCCAGCTCAGCCTCTTCCACCTTCACCTACCTCTCTATAGTCAAATAAGCACTCTTTATAGAAAATTTGTGATTATAAAAGTCATCTTTCCCATTATGGAAAATCTGGACAATATAAAATGAAGATAATTAAAGTCGGTGCATATTTATAAATGACATCTGTATGCCAGGTTCAGGGCTTGGTGGGAAAAAGATATCTGGGTGAACCCCTCAAGGAGCTCACAGTCTGGTGAGGAAACAGACAAGTAAAGTGTGACACCACTGAGTCATCAGTCCCAGGGAAGCCCAGGGACTGTGGCAATCCACGGTGAGCTTCTAATCCTGCCTAACAGATCAAGGAAGGCTTCCTGAAAGAGATGTCAACTGAACTGAACCTCAGTTAGAAGCATTTTAGCCCTACTACATATATATAACTATTATTAATGTTTTTAATTATTTACAGTAATAGTAGGTACCATTTGTCAAGTGCATCTAGGTACTCTGCTAGGTGCTCTAATATATACTTTTTCTAATGCTGTAACAAAGCTATGAGGTAGCTCTTATTTCCACCACCCCCCTTTTACAGGTCAGAAAACTGAAGGTAAAATAAAACGTGACTTTTGAAAATCAGGCTATTATAAGCAGCTATTGAGATATGAATCAGAGCATTCCTCTTATGATACTACATTTACCTTTTCTGGACCATATCTATATATAAGTGTTTTGTTTTGTTTTTTCTTAACCTGGTTGATAGCCTTCTGTACAAACCACAGGTCTTAAACTGGCAGCCACATTTTATTTTGCCAATTCAGAGTTTTTTTTTTAAGTGAGTGTAATGCCTTAGAGGTTGTAGTATGGACTCTCCAGCCACAGGTGTCTGTTTCCTATCATGTTATGTGCTTAACTGTCAGGCATTTGTATTTCTGTCTTGGTCCTGAAGTTATCTGAGTTATGACCCTAGTTCCATGTTTGGAATCTGTGTTTTTTCACTTATTATTTCTTGATGGTTTTCCCATTTTAGAATTATCCATAAGCCTAATTTTTTATTTTATTCTGCCTTTTATGTCACTTATCTAAGAATCTCTGTCACTTTAAGTGGCCTAAATGATTTGTTTCTCATGGCTTATTTGCTTAGTTCTCTCCGCAGTCTCTGTGTGTGGAAGCCTTCTAGGCTCCCTGAGAAGATCGAGAGGTGGATGAAGCCCAGCTCCTGTCTCCTGAGCTGGGTATTAGGAGAGGAAGATGGGGAGAGACAGGCACTCTTAGCTCTGATACCCACAGGCTGACTTGTGCCTTCGGAGGGGTCCACACAGAGCTTGTGGGGGTTCCAAGAAAGCATGGATCACCTCCAGGCAGAATGAGCAGGGCAGGCTTCATAGAGAAGGTAACCTGTGATCTCATTTTGAAGGATTTCACAAGCTGAAGGGTTTAATACTTAAAGCTTAGACCATTTTCACATCTTAACTAAGAGACAGCGGAGAGGTGGAAATACATCTCTGTGCACATGATGGCAGATAAAACAAAAATATGGGGAGCTATTCCATGATGAATATTCAGCTAAGGGGGACGTGCTGATGGCAGCCCGCATCTCTACTCCCAGATCCTCACTCCACTGAGACTCACGAGAAATTTATTGCTCATTTTAATCACACCCAGAGAATGAATTGGCAGGAATATTAGGCAGATAGGTCTATCATATATATTTTATTTGCATATCCCAGTGACAGAATCACAAGCACATTTCCTGTCTGTGTATTTTTTCATTTGCTGCAGGGGTAGCTGGGGCTGCAGGGCTCCCTTGGGCCCCACATTCCGGGCTGCACGCCTGGGTGCTCCCATCAGATCTGGAGGAAGCCATCAGGAGAGAAGGGGTGGGGTACACAGGAAGGTGGAGGGTTATGTTCCGCCTGGCTTAGGATGGAGAGAAACCCCCTTCCCTGCCTCACCGAGCCTGCTCCCTGCTCAGCATCTCATTTCAAGTGCTGGTGTGCCACACGCCTGGCTCCGTGCTGGACCCAGACAGCACCATGCCTGGCTCTGTGCTTGACCCACCACCACCAGCCTATAAGTTCATTATAGGTTCTCCATGGGCCAGACAGAGCACTCCATGCTTTATGGGGATAGACCTTTGCGTTCTGTCTTTCTCTTTTAACTTTTAAAAATCGTTTGTTGAAATATATTGTATAAGGTACTAATAACTATACAGCTCACTGTTAATTTCACAAACTGAATATACCTGATCAAGAAGTAGAGTATTACAAGCATTCATTTGTATCATACTCCCTTCCAGTCACTAT